TATTATGATTCATATTGCCACATTCATTGACATTGTTTTTAGGTAATTTTATTGTTTGGTCATGTTAAAATGTTCCTAATTTAATGCCTAAAAGCACTTGGAAAAGGCAGAATCCCATGTAAAATTAGCGCAACAAACTGTATTGTCATTACTGGAAATAACCGTATTTTTATGAGAAAGTTATTTTCTGTTATTTTATAGTAGTATTTTGGCGACCCAGCTCCCGGAATATTACCGTTTTTTTAAGATATTTTTTTTAACAGTGTAGCATGAAGCGATGCCTGGACCCTACAGAGGTTGCAGAGGTAGTCCAACTCCTCCAAGATGCCACATCAATATGTTGTATTACAGGGTTTGTAAGAGAGCTGGACAAGGACTGTAGAGGGTACTTAACCCATCTGCTCCTTTGTGCAAGAGGGAACAGGATGAGCTCTGTCAGAGCAAAAAAAAAAATATCTGATGAGCAGAACGGTGGGGTGAATCTCTCTGACAAAACAATCAAAAACAGTCTTCATGAGGGTGGCCTGGGAGCCCATTTCTTCTGCCGGGCACTGTGCTCACTGCTGGGCACCATGAAGTCTAACTGGCATTTACCACAGAATACCAGAATTGGCAGGTTCACCACTGGTGCCCTGTAGTGGTGTGCGGATCGATACTGAAATATCGATTCTTCCGATACCAGCAATTTATGTTCTAGAATCGATTCTCATATTATAATATCGATATTTTAGTACTCTGGGGTAAATTTGTAGTTTTTCCATTAAAATGAACGCAGTGGAAAGAAACTATATCATTCGGATCGTCTAATTTGGAAGGAACTACTTCCTCTTACGCCTTTCATAGTCATATGCGAAATACAGCTGTATAAATGTGCCACAGCCCCTGGCGTGCACACTTACAACAATGGCTGAGCGCAAACAAAGTCATGTTTTGCCTCCACAAACAGCCAAGACGCAGTTTGTGATGTATGTGGCAAGACAGTGAGGTGTTGTGGCAACACCACTGACCTCGTCAAACACCTCAGAGTAAATCATATCACAGAATATGATGAGCTTATGTTGAGGCGAACTGAAGAGGATGAGAAGGGCAGGTGCTGCTAGGGCGAGACAGACGTCTCTCGCGGAGTTCATAGTGCTGCAGGCAGGCAACATGTTCAAATAGCTCACAACTTCAGGTTTTTTTTTTATTTCTATATGATTATTCTGCATTATTAAGCAATAAAAACAAGTTGTCTGATGTCCTCTAATCATTATGAAGCAATATGGTTATGTTATTATTACAATTACATAATACAATTATATATTGTATTATGTAATATAATGAAACATTAAGTTTTTGTACAGAGTATCGGTATCGGATCAGTATCGCCGATACCACCCTGAATTTTACTTGGTATCGGATCGGAAAGGAAATCAGTGTATCGCACATCACTAGTGCCCTGTGCTTTTCACAGGTTCTCCCTGAGCTTATGTGACAGACCTGAAAGGGTCTGGTGAAGTCATGGAGAACGTTATGCTGTCTGTAACATTGTTCAGGATGACCGGGTTGGTGGTGTGATCTGTGATTGTCTAGAGATTGTTTGGCTTTGTAAGCATTTTTTATTTGGAGATTATGTCTCCATTATGGGCATAACGCACAGAGCTGATTTCAAGTTGAAATCCTTGAAGCCATTGTCAGTCTTTTTGTTGGGGCAGTGGGTGCTTTAAATTTACACCACTAATGAGCCCCCACACTCATCTGGCCTATATCCAACACATCTGGGACACTATGTTTCGGTCCATCTGATGTTGCACCTCAGATTGTCCAGGACCTCAGTGATGTCCTGGACAGACCTGGGAGGAGATCCCATGGGACACCATCATCGTCTCATTAGGAGCATGCACAAACACCATCAAACATGCATACAAGGCACGTGGGGGATAGAAAAACTACTGAGTACTATTTTGAGTTGCTGCAGCGATATTTTTGCAAAACAGACTAGCCTGCTGCATCCTTTTTTTTTATAACCCCCCCCCAAAACGTGAACACCAACAACCTAAAATATCCTCTATATCTGCTAAGATCTAAACAACAGACACCATTTATTTATTTATTTATTTTTACTTTAAATTATTAATTTAGTTTCTTTACATTTTTTGAGCAGTGTGTTATTGTTCAGGGACCTTTTTATAATTTCCAATAATTTCCACTGGTTTCCTCATTATTCTACCAATATGTGAGGCATTTGACAGGAGTAAACGGTTTTTGGGCGCATGCTGAAGAGCATGTTGAACTGGTTTGACGATAGAAATCTCAGCACAAAGACGTTAGAGTAAACACCCTCACTCCTAGTTTCTCACATTGTCACACAGACACTGGAGATAAGTTCATGACTGGCACGACAACAGACTAGCAGCAGCGATCTTTGTTTGTTTCAAATCATCTGGAGAGAGTACAAACCACTATAATCGAGTAGTAGCAGACAGCTTTTTCTCTGGTGTATCTGGCCAATGAAATAATCTTACCTATCCTTGTTCTCCTAATGGAAACACAGGTGAGTAACAATATTTCTGATAGAATCCTACAAATAGTCACCCTATAACTGCATTTAAAAAATCGTTTTAAAAAGTATTCATCATTTAGTATTTCTCAGTCTCTAGTCACCTTTGTGGTAGAGCCGTTGTGTAGTTGTCAGAGAAAACAAGCAATGCGACGATATAGTAGGAGAGCACTGGCAACCCTTTAGATCGCATATTAATGGGACAAAAATAGCAAATCTGAGGGGACGAGTTTTATTTTACTGAGTTAAGTGCAAACATAATTAACCTCTGATATATAATCAGAAATTGGAATGTATTTGGGGATCATTAGTCCTGATGATTCGGCATTGTCACTCAGGAACCTCACATAGAGGTGTTTATCATATTTCACATAAATAACACACAAATATAAAAAGTTCACAGCATAAAATATTTTCTTCTGTTAACTGCATTTCCAGGAACAAGTGAACATGGCACACAATGAATTCAAAGAGGAGCAAACCAAAGAACTGGTGGAGGAGATCACAGAGGAACACTTTCTCAAAAATCTCTACCTTTTTATGAAGAAGAGAGAAACACCAATAGAAAGGATCCCACATCTGGGCTTCAAACAAAGTAAATATTATCTATTACAGCACATTTGGATTCACAGCTCAAGAATGTGTTAATTCACTGTTGTTTAATGTGAGAAAAAATAATGTATAAACACTTTAGAAAGTATGTTATATTCTCATTAGAAATATTTTTAATATTTCAAAAAGGAAATGTGTCTGTACAACATGTTTTGATAGAGAACCTACCAATAAATCAGTAGTAGCGACAAGAGTAAAGGAAACATCTATAAAACTATGCTTGATTTGCAATTTGCTTCTCTTTCCTAATGTTTGTAGATGTAACTTTGGGTTAAATTTTGAGCTAGTAATCAAGATATAAATATTTGTTAAATTATTCATCAGGTCATTGAACAAAGATGAATTATTACAATTATCGAATCCAGTTTCTTTAAAATTCATCCATCATAAATGCCTTTTCTTTAAATGCTATGAAGATGCCATGAAGAACATGTTCTTCTTGCTACAGTTTCTTCATTCTGTTTTAAAACAAGTGCTAAAGCAAACCACTGCTATTAGCTTCAGCTCCGAGAAACTGTGATATTTAGTTCTCAGTTATTAAATGTTTTGTGAAAGTAATTTTTTTTAAAGGGTTTCTAGTGAAATTAATATTCCTAAATTTGCAACTGTGTCAATTTTATTTTAACATGTATGTCTCTCCTTTTTTCAGTTGATTTATTTGTCATGTTCAAAACTGTCAATGACTTGGGCGGCTACCACCAGGTAATAATCGAATAATCTCGTTATTATGAGAATAATTTTGATGATCATGATGGCTATTATTATTATCATTAATAATAATAATAATAATAATAATAATAATAGTAATATTGTCATTGTAATAGTAAGTTAGTATTATAGTATAGTAGTATTATATTAAAGGTATTTTCAATTAAGCTTGCAGTAAAAATAATATTGCTAAGATGTCAAAACTCACAGTCACACGTTTGTATTACTCTAGGTGACTGCTCAGCAATTGTGGAAACAGGTTTACAATACACTTGGTGGAAACCCTCGAAGTACAAGCGCAGCCACCTGCACCCGCAGACACTACGAGAAGTAAGTTCAAATTATGCCTGTCAGTCCATCTGGCTGTGAATGGGTGTTATATTGTCTTTATCTGATCCTTTTTTTTTATTTGTGTAGGCTGCTGCTGCCCTATGAATGCCACGTGAAAGGCATTTCCATCAGGTCCATGATGCCTCATCATCAGCTAAAGCCATTCCACTTTGTTGCCGGCTACAGTAAAGAAGAAGACGACGGTGTCCAGAGACCAGCGAAACGCAGGCTGGTATCCATACCAGTGTATCAGGTTGGTATTGGTTTTTACTGACATACACACACAAAAAATTATAACAAAATTGATTTATTGCTTTGCATTGATTAAAATTATAGAAATATTATTTATTATATTAAATGAAAAAGTATTCCATATTGAACAATTTACTCTTGTTGCTATTTAGAAAACCTTTCATTGTTAGTTAAATATTTTATCTTTAAAACACAATAAATAAATCATTACATTGAAGGAAATTTATGGGGGTTTTGTTTTGTTTTTTTTGAAGAAAAAAATTCTTACGTACCGCCCACGTAAGAATGGGTTACGTGGGCGGTACGTCCGACTGCTAACAGGTTAAGAACCTCATGGATTGTACTGAAAATATGTAACAGGTGCCAAAGCCTTGTTAAAGTGAAGGCATAAAGAAAATAATGAACAACTATCAGGCTAACAGCAACACTGTGTAATTTTTATCAAGCAGGAATGAGAGTGGAATTACTTTCTTATGTAGCTCCATAACTACTCTTCAAACACCTGATGAACTGTTGTGTTTTTCTCCAGCAGAACCCTCATAACCTCCAGACAGACCAACACGGAAATCTCTTCCCTCTGTCTGTCCACTACCCTCCCTACTATCAGTCAAGCCCCACAGTTCTGCCTCCCTACATCCCTATGCCCCCCTCAATATTGGCCACACAACACCCACCTGCTCCCAAGCCCCAATTCCCTTACAGTCAACCTTGTGTAAACTCAACAGAGAGGGTGAAGGAACCATTAGAGCACTTGCGTTACCTGGCTGAGCGGTACAAGACCTCATCCGGACTGGCTGAGCCCCTGAACCTCAGCGTTAAATCATCAGGCCGGGACATCAGCAACAACCCTGTTTCATCATTTGCTCCACCTTCAGCCAGCAAGAACCCAAAGTTTTTGAACAAACCATCCACACTATATGCCCATCATCATACTGGGGCTCTGACAAATGAAGGCTCTGAGACACAAGATGGGGAGTCAAGTGATGGAGTTGCACCCTCTCCTTATACCATGAAAGCACAGGAGGAACAAGTTATTGATGTCGATATTACGGCACCCTCAAGCAGCCCCATATATGACTCTGCTCTGCCACTGGGAACAGAGGCTGCTGCAGTGGCACAAAAACCCTGTTCTCCAAACACAGACCTTGCAGTCACGCCAAAAGAAGAGACAAAAGTGATTCCAGAAGTGATGGGGCTCAATCTTAGCCAAATACTGTCCAGTCTCCCTCAAGAGAAGGATGGCAAAATGGAAATTGAGTTACCCCTGTCAGTGTTTCATAAATTGCTCAAGATGTGCAAGTCCTCAGCAATGATGCATGAAAGTAAGGTTCCTCAGCCTACTCAGGAAGGACACCCTGCAGAAAGGAATTGGCCTAACGCAAACACTTTCCCTACCAAACTGACATTTCACACAAATCCCCAACGCCAGAGTTCTGCTGACGATCTAACATTCAGAAATGTGCCAAACCTCAGTCACAACAATAAAATCCAAAACCAATTCATGAGTTACAAGCCTTTGCCTTCAGGTGCCATTTTGAAAAATGCAGTAAACCAGGATGTCTTGTCAGAAGATCAGCAGGATATTAATAAGTCATACAACTCCAAGTCACCCAATTTCTGGGGTGCCCATAAGAGAGAGACCCAGTCATCCATTGAAGTGGAGAGCGACCCTAGTCCCCCCAGGACTCACCAAGACTTTTCTTATAAATTCTACGCAGGTGTCCAGGGAGGGAAGCAGCAGGCGGAGACGGAGCCTTCAGCTATGCTCATGGTCAATTCCAGCTCTGCTCCTCTCTTTCAGCTCACCACTGAAGAAGTCATGAAGCTGAAAAAAATCATCTCAAACTCATTGTAGAGACCAGTTAAGACAATACCACAAACACACCAACACCATGTTAAAGCTGGCTCATGCTCATATTATAGCTCTATATTTTGAATATACTTCAGGTTAATTTCCAATCAATTTGTATCAGCTGAACACAAAAAAGGAATACAAGCAACCATTCAAATCTGCTTGATTTAAAGATAATCTGCGCTATTTTTGTGTTCTGCACTGAAATGTTGATTGCATTTAACACTTCAGTCTCATTGTTGTGCAATCTTGTTTAAAGCACATGAAGTAGATTATTTTTTCTATTTGTTAATAGAAGCTTTGTTTTACACCAGTTATATTGTGAAATTAATCTGTTGAAACAATAAATTCTTTTTGTAAACCTTTCCCATCTGGAGACAGTTTTATTTTTGAAAGATGTGTGAGCTATAACTGCAACGCTCTACACATTTACATGTAGTGAACACTATTTTATCCTTTCATTTTGTGAATCATTTCTCTTAATCCTCTTTTTTCACTTGTTTTTAAAGCATGATGCTATATCTGAACTTCACTATCCAAATGTGACATTTACTTGTTCCTTTTATTTAACATTTTCATAGTTGCAGTAGAATAAAAGACGTGTTTTCACTTTAGTGAAAAGAAGATACGTCAGTTGTCCTTTAGCGAGCATTGTTTTTATTTGTCATGCCTGAATGATACATAGGCAGCTCAGTATCTCTTTTAATTTTTATTTATGTAATTACTACTCTTTGATTGAAAGCGTGGAATTTTAAGGTTTGACAACCACATTGAGAAAGAAGCGCCACTCCCACTGCAGTAAACTTAGACGTTAATTTATTACGTGCAAAGTGCTAATTAACATCACAAAAGTGCTGCGAAATCTATTATGATTAAATTTTATTTTATTTTATTATTATTTTTGAACAGTGCTTAACAGTGGGAACAATACTGAGTAGATCAAAGTTGATCCTAATGTTTCCTGGGTTTGTTTTGTTTTTTTCTTTTTATTTCCCCTAAATGCATTTTTGACATTTCAAAATGCTTGAAAAAAAAAAAAACCCCAACGGTGCCTGAGAGACATGTGACATGTTCAGACAGGAATTTGACTGTCACTACACAGCACAGTATTGCTTAACCCGGGCCTTTGTATGGGTTAAAATAATCATATAATACTCGTGTGTTGTCTATCCATTTATCCATTTTCTTCCAATTACCCAGGGTCAGAGACTAGCCCAGCTGTCATAGGCCAAGAGGCAGAGTACACCCTGGACAGGTTGATCAAAAATAGCTTTTTTCTTATGTAGAAGCTGTTGACAGGAGTACTAGCCCAGGAAACCCTCGAGCCAAATGTAATTTAGTGCTTCCGTGTTACACATATTCTATTTAAAGAGTGGAACGCACTGCGCTTCACATCCTCAAACGTGTGCACTGGCATCAAGAACAAACTAAGTTATCTCAAAAGTTCACTTTCAGATTCATAATTTATAAGGAAATTTGTATTAATTCAAATAAAGCACACAGTGTATTTTTAGCTTTACATTTACAAATTGTTTAAAAGTCCTTTATGATAACGTACAGAGCTCAACAAATTTATTAGACCACCATCCAGTGTAAGGTTCATGTCACAATTGCCATAAATAAACATTACCAAAATAATGTCTTATCTCTAATTGTTATCTACCAGTATGCTCAAGCTCTGTAATCAAAATTATATTTTTTAATAATGAAATGTAATTGTTTTTGTCATCCATGAATTCTCAAGTTTCTTTTTTCACAAAGCAAGGCGAAAACAAAATACTAAAACACAATACTTAACATAAGATAAGATTTTAGCAATTCCTGATCATGACGTGAGGCCTCGAAGGATTCTGTGCATCCTTGGCATCTCCAGATAACAGATTAGATTAGCTAATCGCTTATTGCATTCTCACACGTCCTCTTTAGCATTAAGGCACACCCAGTGACAAACTTCTGAGAAACCCTTCTCTGATTCCTACCTGCTTTCTCCACGAATACTAATTACCTTTTTCTCGTTCCACAGGATGTTGACTGGAAGTGTAGAGTTTTATATGCTTCCAAGAGGTGTGGCCAAAACAAGCATAACATCAGTGAAAATATTTGTAGACAATGCAAGGTGTGCTCTTGATTTACAGTAAAAAGATTTTCCTCCTAGAGTATTTGCCTTATGACTCAGTAGAAATATGCCAGACTACTTCTGCTATTTTCTATAATAGCACAATGCTATTGTTAATCCACATTAGTACAACTAAAATTTAACGCATGTCTTCCTGTGTAACAATAAAACCAGGTGAAAATATAAATGCACATGTTGCTGCACATGATACTCAAATTAGTGAGACATGATTTTATCCCAGTGGGTGCCTAATAAATGGATATTTTCATGTTTATCACAGTAACTAAAGATAAGGGGCCAAGGTAAATGGAATCAAAATTAGAGTGGAATCTCATTATATCACCTTGACTCCAAAAATTGCTAGCTATTGTTGTTGGATAAACAGTTTGGATTCTTTCAGGAGTAGCATGAAAAAGTAAGCACAGTTGAGTAATTCTGGTGACCTTCCAAATCATGAAAGACCACCAATTATCATGTCCTTCTCCAACTCCTTGACCGGGCAAGGTAACCAGAATTGGGCTGCTGAGAAGTGTGTTTCGCTCTTTCCCAGTGTCCTTGGCAGGGTGATCAATAACTGTAAAAAATGGGACAACACAAAAAAAAGAATCAATCAAAGAATCAAAGAAAACAAAACAGTTGCCATCTAATGCACCTTATCTCTGTTGGGTAATATAGGTGTCTGGATGATAAATTGACATGAAAAATCATCCTCCCTCTCCCTCACCCATTAATATTTCCATTATGTACCAAAGCATCACACCCTCTTGGCAGCTGAAGTGATTTCAACAAATGGGTCTTGAAACCACAACTCCAACTGCAAGTTTCTTATCAGATGATCTGCTGGTATGAGGATATGGTTGCTTCACTTACAAGAATAAGCGCAGGTTATTTGCTAGATTACTGTCACAAGGATGTCAGTTTGTCTTGTTTTCCAAGTAAGACCAAGTGGGGTTTTTTTGTTTTGTTTTGTTTTTGTGTGTGTGTTTGTCTGTTACATTTTTGGTATAGTTTGTGTGCATGTCATTCTGTTTGTAAGAACGACAGCTCAAAAAGATTTGAACGAATTCTGATCAAACTGATCAAACTTTAAAGGGGTGCAGCGTGGGGTCCGGTTAACAAGCCATTAAAATTTCTACTACATCCACCGAGTTCTTTAAGGTTAACTTGTTGTGTATTTTCAACGCAATGCACAAATTTGCACACAAATCACTAAAGTTGTATATTTGTATTATTGTGATCGTAATGCAGTGCAGGTCTCTAAAGTTGTACATTTTGATGAAAAATGACAATAACTTTTCATATTAAAAAGAACATGTTGCCATTGGGTACTTTTTGAGTATAGTTGAAAAATTTTTAATTTTTATGTACATTGCAGTAACAGGTTATAACCACTTAAAAACGTAGCAATTTGAGTGCATGTGCAGTGTTCCTGAATATCTATTTTTCGGGGAAACAAAAATAAAATTATGTTCAAATGTTTCTCATTTAATATGTATTACAAAAATCCAAATTATTTTTTTTAAACAATGACATGAATGTTACATATTTACGATACGCCACAAAATAAGTTAAAGAAATAATAATTCTGCTCAAGTATATTAAAATGGGTTTCAGTGGTGCAAATAAAAAATGCCTGCACTTTGCACATGTTTATACTGCAAACTTCTTAAAGTATCTTTGAAAGAACAAAGAAGAATAAATTAATATATAGAAAATACCATGCTTTTTTGTGTTTTGTTATTTAAAAAAGATACCTTATACGTCTATTACCTAACTGATTAAATTGTTATGCATCCTCATTAGGTGCAGAATATTTCAGAATTGCAGAATTTGTCTTTGGCCATTTAAAGGCCTCGAGTCCAAAATTGTATTATTTTTTGAGATGTGAGTTTATTTCATAACCTCTCTGCCAAGCATCTTTCTCTTATTAATGCAAAGTTGGAAATCTGTCAGGTAGTTTTATATTCTCTATCCCACAGCTATGCATGCAGTGTAACAGTCTGACTCACTATGGAATTCTGTTAAAAGAAACACGGTTGAACCACAAACACAAAGTATCTGAAAACTAAACAAAGCCAGCACTGTGAAAGCCTGTCTAGTTGTCTTCTCCGGTTGTTACCTCGCATATATCAACTATCAAACTGTAAAACCTGTTCTCTGAAACATCTTTTGACTGATCTCTGGCCTTAGCTCTGTACACAAATCACCACACTCCTGAACACAGTATGTTACTTTTGACAAGGTCTATTATGTGCACACTTGAACTTGTAAGTTTTGTTTGCTAAGAAGTTAAATTATCAGCTAGTGTTTGAAAAACAGTCCAGATTACAAAAGACAATGCTTGTATAACTTTAAGAGGTATTCATCTTGCTTAAGCGTGACCTGCATTTCTGTGTTAATTCCTGTCCCTGCTGACCTCGACGAGCGCACGAAAGACCCAATTGTGACCTGTATGCCACTGAATTTTTGCACGCTTTGTCTGTGTGCATGTTTGCTGTAAGCTTCAGTACAGTATGAAAATCACACCTTTCATTTTAATTATTCTTACAGTAATATATTATTCCCAACTCGAAGAGTTCAAGAAATCCAAGACAGTTGCCAATCTTCCCAGGAGCAGACATCCCAGCAAATTCACCGCAAGGTCAGACAATGCTGTGCAATGCTCAGAACACAAGAGCTACATCTCAGGCTCTACAGGCCTCAGTTAGCATGTTAAATGTTTACGTTAATGACAGTAAAGTGAGACAAAGACTTGTTTGGAAACTTTCTTCTCGTGCATTGCATTTAACCAAAGTGCAGTACAGCTGGAACAATGTCCTTTAGAAAGATGACAGAGAAAGACACAATTGTGGCCTGCTATACACAACTTTGTGCATGCTTTTTATATGACAGAGAATAAACTTGACACTCAAATAGGTTTAATGTGCAACTTGTGACTGTAAGTTTCCACTTACAGTTAGGTATATTGCTAGCTATATTGTAGCCACATCTGGCCCACAAAATATACCTAAGTCCTGGGCCTTGCCTACGGAAAACTTACCAGGGTCATAACAAATATTAATTGCAAAGTGTAATGTTTCATTGCTTGTAGTTACGAGGTAAGCTGTGCTGGAATGTCATAATACAACAAGTGATTATGCGTGTGGTGGTGAGCATTAGGAGTGGATTTACTATTTAATATGACTGAAGAGAAAGCAAATCCTGCTGGCAAATACATACAGGTGTATTTGGCAGGCTTTAAAAAGACTGCACGCACAGAGGTGTAGAAAACCTACCTTTCCTTGTAGTATGTAGAGAGCAAAGAGCGGATATCAGTAGATAAATCTGGAACCTCAGTTTGCTTTCTGGGCGAGGAGGGTGTCGCTGAAAATATTGAAGAAAGAAAAAAAATAGAAGGAACAAAGGAAACAATCATTTGAAATTTTTCAGTTGTAAAACTCTTGACTGATTATCTTAACTCAATTTCTTACTGAAGATGTTTCAAACTGATAAGTAGTCAACTAGAAGGAACTAAAAGACTGAACAGCATTTTCTTTTTCCTTTTAGAGACATTTTCTTTCTGTGTGACTTGTTTTAGTGATAGGGACGTAGTTTCGAAGAGAATATTTTGTTATTTAAACACACCCGTATTTAAGGTGCTTCATTTATAACATGTTGTCATTTGGTCTGACTGACATGTTTGTCAGCAGGTGTCTGAGATAATGCAGCTATTCACGTCAACAGTATCTGGTTTGTTCTTTTGTGTCATTGTTCCGTAGTATTATTTGTCTTTTACATCCTGCTATTTACTCAAACTCGTTTGTCAAGGTGTTTCTCCAGCTTTTTACAGATGAAGACTGTCTGAATTCCTGTTATGGAGAGACAGACAAAAAAAACTGTTCCCTAGTGCGTACTCTACAGCACATCTCCCTTCTGATTGAGGAAAATAGTGTTTCCCTGGTAATTCGACATGATCTGTAAATCACTTAAAAAAATCACTGGGTTTACACAGGTTGCGTAGTCTCATCGGTCCTTATACCCTTTTAAATCGATCACACTTCTTCTATTTTAGGCAGCCATGTGATCCACCTAATTATGTGTCTGTATATAAAAGATAGAAGTAATCTCACAGTCTGTAAAATGAAGTCAAAGTCTCTTTGACTCACCGCAGCAATTTCCTAATGTTGTAAACCTGCTCAACATTTGGCAATAAACCCCATTCTGATTCTGATTCTGATTCTGATTAAACGTGCATGCTTTCTAATTACCAGCACAGGGCAACTTCTCTGGTTGCAAAAAAAAGATGAATGAATAGATTTCTATGTGTAAATGATTCTCTTCTTACTTGATTTAAATCCATTAACACCTTTTATAGTCACAGTCTTATTCAATATAGTATGATCATTTTGTAAATCCCAAAAGGTTGATTAGTTCATCTGGAGAAAGTGTTTTCAGTGGGAGAAACGTATTGTCACTCATCCAAGTGACCAACCTTATAAAGAGTACATTGCACAGTGACTGAAACTAGCACCACCGAATGAACAATGTGCTGGGAGGTCAGTTCCTTGATGCAAATTCTTATGACCATTGATTAACAACTACTGATCGAAGTCCATTGATCAAAGACCATTGATCAATGGCCATGAGTACCATTCACAGAGACATTGCTACTAGGAGTGGGTTTCAATAATCTATTTATTGATTAAAATTGATTTTAGCTTTATTAAAGCGATATTGATTCATTAAAATCCTGCATCGATTTTTAAATATACATGTATTTTTCCATAAACAGAAGAATCTCAGGTTAAAGCTCAGAAAACTATTTCAAACACCATCAAACAGCTAAAACAGCAAAACAGAACAGGTAAATGGATTCTACAAAAAGAGGTAGACACAAAGCGCAGACCCGCCGACGCATCAGAATCAGTGAGATGTCAGCTTTCTCACCCTATGTGCCTTCAAGTGAAATGGACTAGTAAAGTATTCTTCACTGTTTTGATAAACAGTGAACAAATGCTCTGATCAAATGCTGATTATCAGCATTTTACAGCTTTGGAAGAAGTGTCCTAAATCTGCTACTTATATAAAAGTAATACAATAGTGTATGTATATTCAGTAAAAATAACATT